AGCGCTGCAGTCTGTCGGGTGTAGCGTAGCCGTCTGTCGGTGTGTAGCGTTGCCGTCTGTACTGGTGTAGCGTTGCTGTCTGTCGGGTGTAGCGTTGCTGTCTGTCGGGTGTAGCGTTGCCGTCTGTCGGGGGTAGCGTAGCCGTCTGTCGGGTGTAGCGTTGCCGTCTGTCTGGTGTAGCGTTGCCGTCTGTCGGGTGTAGCGTTGCTGTCTGTCGGGTGTAGCGTTGCCGTCTGTCGGGTGTAGCGTAGCCCTCTGTCGGGTGTAGCGTTGCCGTCTGTCGGGTGTAGCGTTGCGTTGCCGTCTTGTCCGGGTGTAGCGTTTGGCCGTCTGTCGGGTGTAGCGTTGCCGTCTGTCTGGTGTAGCGTTGCTGTCTGTCGGGTGTAGCGTTGCTGTCTGTCGGGTGTAGCGTTGCCGTCTGTCTGTGTAGCGTAGCCCTTGTCGGGTGTAGCGTTGCCGTCTGTCGGGTGTAGCGTTGCGTCTGTCGGGTGTAGCGTAGCCCTCTGTCGGGTGTAGCGTAGCCCTCTGTCGGGTGTAGCGTAGCCGTCTGCGGTGTAGCGCTGCAAGTCTGTCGGGTGTAGCGTAGCCGTCTGTCGGGTGTAGCGTTGCCGTCTGTCTGGTGTAGTAGCGTTGCTGTCTGTCGGTGTGAAGCGTTGCTGTCTGTCGGGTGTAGCGTTTGCCGTTGTCGGGTGTAGCGTAGCCGTCTGTCGGGTGTAGCGTTGCCGTCTGTCTGGTGTAGCGTTGCCGTCTGTCGGGTGTAGCGTTGCTGTCTGTCGGGTGTAGCGTTGCCGTCTGTCGGGGTGTAGCGTAGCCCTCTGTCGGGTGTAGCGTTGCCGTCTGTCGGGTGTAGCGTTGCCGTCTGTCGGGTGTAGCGTTGCCGTCTGTCGGGTGTAGCGTAGCTGTGTACACGCCATTAAATGTCCGATTGAAACGAAGCAAAATGTAGATCTACATCTGGGGAGCGATATGTTTTTTCCCAGGATGGTAGGGGAAGAGGGTAGGGTTGGGGGCGGGGTTAGGGGCGGGGTTGGGGGTGGGGTTGGGGTTCGTCGTATATTTATATATACAGTAATGTAACGTTAAGTCGACGGCGTTCATAAACACGCAGAGAGAGAGAGAGAGACCAATGTGTGTTCAAGCACAGATGAGTCCGTTCTGTAGGCATTAGTTGCCTGGACATGTTGTGATGTCATCAGTCCCATAATGCACTGCTCCTGGTCACTTGACCTTACACAGCTCTTCAGTGGCGCTTCAGTGTTCTACAGTTTCTTTTGCTCAGTTGGACTTAAAGGTGTTTGGATATTTTTATTGCCCTATTATGCAGATGACCCAGAGAGCATGACGGACGAGTGTGTGTTGTGTGGTGTGTGTTCAGGTGAGGAGGAGTTACTCCCACGGCACGTATCGAGCCGGAGCCATGAGGCAGATCAGTCTGGTGGGAGCCGTGGACGAGGAGGTGGGAGATTATTTCCCAGAGTTCCTCAGCATGCTGGAGGACTCACCTTTCCTGCAGGTGTGTTTCCTGCCATCTCACACACACACACTTTTCCTTTGACAGCAGTGTATTGATCAGTGTTTTGTGAGGTTGAATTTGTGTGTGTGTGTGTGTGTAGCGCACGCTGCCGTGGGGGACGTTCTCCAGTCTGAAGCTGAAGAGCCCGACTGACAGTGACGACGGCCCCATCATGTGGGTTCGGCCCGGAGAGCAGATGATCCCCGTCACGGACATGCCCAAGTCTCCCTTCAAACGGAAACGGTAACGCAGCTTCTTTCCTCTGCGTGTGTGTGTGTGTGTGTGTGTGTGTTTCTTTATCGAACTGCAATTTAACACACACATATCAGAACCTTCCTGATATAATTTGAGACCTTCATCAACATCTGCATCATGAACACAGAGCAGAAGAGTTCAGTCAGATCAATAACATCAGTGCCAAACAGATGCACACACACACACACACACACACACATGCAGAGACACTCTAACTCATTCACACACTCACACACACACACATATGCAGAGACACTCTAACTCATTCACACACGCACACACACTCACAAAGACACTCACACACTCATAGACACAAGCATAGAAACTCACTCACACAGACACACACACTCACACTCACACACACACACACACACACACGTGTAGAGTGTCAGTGATTCTCCGGGAGTTTTTGTGTCATTTGTGTAATGATGCTGAAACCAATCGTAATTAACCCTTTTCCAGGTCAACCAATGAAATCAAGAATCTGCAGTATCTTCCTCGAGCCAGCGAGCCGCGAGAGATGCTGTTCGAGGACCGAACCCGCGCTCACGCTGACCACATCGGCCAAGGGTTCGAGCGGCAGACCACTGCAGCGGTGGGCGTGCTGAAAGCTGTGCGCTGCGGGGAAAGGTGAGCACACACACACACACACACACTCTTCTGGAAGGGTTAGGAAACACCTGACCGGGGTGATGTGTATCGTCAGCTGCTGATCTCAGTGTGTGTGTGTGTGTGTGTGTTGCAGTGCTGAGCCTCCACGCATCACCAAAGATGTGATCTGTTTCCATGCGGCTGATTTCCCTGATGTGGTTCAGCGGCTGCAACTGGACCTGTACGAGCCGCCCCTGTCTCAGGTGAGGTCACTTCCTGTGCTGGTATCGACTTCCTCTGTGAAACCCTCGCCGGCGCGTGTCACATGATCTCGCAGCGACAGCACTGGTGTTGGTGAAAGAGGTTTCGAATGCTTTACTGTGATGTGTGTTTACGTCTCCATATCGGCAGAGGGAACTGGATAATACTCTGATCCAATCTGACCTCTGACCTGTAATGCTGCCTGAATCATAATCGCACACTGTGGGCTCGTTGGCCAGAGGACTGAGCTGAGTTTTCTCCATTCTGTCACTGATGGAGATTTGGTTCCTTCAGTCATCGTTTCTCCTGTCCTTTATAACGACCACTCCCCCAGACACAGGCAGGGGCTCAGATTGGTTAGTTGGGCCGGTGTGTTGTGATTGGCTAAACTGTTGTCCGGACACTTCACGCCCATTACCTTTACAGGTGAAGTTGCATGTGTTGATCATGTCAGATGTATATAATGGTGTGGAGACTGCGGTATCAGTGTGAGCCAGAACGAGTCGAGCAGAACCTCGCCACACGCGCCTCTTATTAAACGCTTCTGAATGCTACATCTTTTTAAAATTATTATTATTCTATTCTATTATTATATACGAATTTCGATACGTTGTTAGTTGAAAATGCCACTGCTGCCTGTTAGCTTCAGAGATACGGTTTTCTCCTGATTAACCCTTTAATATAACTGAATAAATGTGTAAGTCATTCTTTTATCGATATAATGAACAACCGTTTAACTGTTCATAAAACTTAGCTTACTCCGTGGACACATGTACACCTAAAGAAAACCATACACTGTGTGAAACCCGTCTTGTACACTGATAACAGCAGCTGGAGTTAGCTGCGATTGCATAGCCTAGCATGTTTTTAACTTTATACACGTTTGCCTTACACAAAATCTATCTGACTGGCTATAAAATCTATACACAAACAGCGTTGGCATTGGGTTACGTTCTTTATCAAATCAAAAAATTACGTCATAAAGTAGGCTATATACATGAAAAATACATTTACAAAATTAGTAGCCTACATAAATACAAATTCAGATCCAAAATGTTTGTATGTGTTTGTCGTAGACACACGGGGTTAGGGTTAGACGTATAAAACCCGCAAAGCATCTTGTTGTAGTCCAATTCAAGTCGTTTTTGTAGGCATTAAACTTCCTGATTTTTAAAAGACATCTCTGATATCTCCGCTTACACTGAACTTTCAGCGCAGTAACTTTGCAGATACTATTCATTCATCAACAGCAACATTACACACTGTTCAGAATGAAAAAAGTGAAATCGCAATCAACCACCCCTTTAAATATTTCTATTTTTCTTATAAAACCCACGGCTTCACTTCAGAAGGCGTTCGCTAACCCACTGGAGCCGTATGGATTACTTTTCTGATGGATGGGTGAATTAATCCTGTAAATGTCGTTTTGTCGGGATGTTGGCTAAATCGCTGCAAAGGTATTTCAGACTTCTTTTCACCACCAAGTGAATAACAAGAAAGCACTTTGTGGAGAGTAAATGTGGGCCTTTACGAGCCTTCACTCGCTCGTGTTGCCAGATCTTGACGAGAAGAATCTCGACCTGCAGCGGTCCATCACTGCACATGTCCACAGCTCAAGAGTCTGGGGTCACGGTAATATCACTTAATATTAATATTAGCGCTGCACAATTAATCACAATTAACATGAAATCGCACTCAAACCGGTTTGGCTTTTCTGGATGATGAAGTGGCGAATGCTGCGATTGCTAGTTCTGTGCAGCGTGTCAGTGAAGCGCGGCTCGCTCTGAAAGCACTGCGCCTTCCAGTCGCTTATAATGAGCGTTTGAAACACCAGTCAAACATCTGCCCAGACAAAAGACAACTTTTAATAAATCAGAGTGTGTCGATCTTCTGTTGATTCAGCTACAGATGCCCATAGGGATTTCCTGGAATGGTGTGTGTGGTGTTCTTCTGTTCTGTGTGGGGCATATTTGGTGTGTGTGTGTGTGTGTGTGTTGACAACTGAAAACTCATCTCCTCCGTGAGCACTTGATATAAAAATAAAAAATGTAAATCCTCACTTGTCTGGTTTATGCTGCCTGAACTGTGTATTTGCAGCACTTCTTGTGTTGTTGTTGTTGTTGCCTCTTCACGATGACTTGTTGGATTTAGTCCTCGGATGAAATTGGCTTTGGATAAAAGCGTCTGCTAAATGAGTGAGTGTAAATGTGTGTGTCAAAGCAGAGGAGGTTGATATGAAGCCTAATGAGTGTGTCCTGATGTTCTCTCTCTCTGCAGTGTGTGCAGTGGGTCGATGACGCTAAACTCAATCAGTTGAGGCGAGAGGGAATCCGCTACGCTCGTATCCAGCTCTACGATAACGACATCTACTTTATCCCTCGCAACGTGGTCCACCAGTTCAAGAGTGTGTCGGCCGTGTGCAGCCTGGCCTGGCATGTGCGCCTGAGCCAGTATCACCAGGAGGTGAAGGAAGAGGAGGAGGAGGAGGAGCTGAAGCCGCTCATCAAGCCGGAGCCGAGCGACGAGAGCGTCAGCGCTGCGATCACGACCCCCGACTGCAGAGCCGCGCGAGACTCGCCGTGTGTGACACCCATGAAGATGGAGAGGGCGGAGCTACAGGTGGAGAGGCCCAAAGCCCTTCCCAGAAGCCCCAGCTTGACTCCGCCTCTCGTCTCCTCTGACGGGCGACCCAAAGTGCTCAACGTGTCCGAATGTCCCAGCGCTCCCTCTCACACAGCACGCAACTCCACGGCCAGTGCGCACACACCCAAACACACACACACGCCGGCACCACCCAAACACACACCCCACTCGGCACCAACCAAACACGCACACACGTCGGCACCACCCAAACACACACCCCCTTCGGTGCCGACCAAACACACACACACGTCGGCACCACTCAAACACACTCCCCCTTCGGTGCCGACCAAACACGCACACACACCGGCACCACCCAAACACACACCCCCCTCGGCATCCAGATATTTCCATTCTTCCTCTGTCCCCAAACCGGGACACACACCCTCAACACCTACTAAACCCAGCCATTCTGCCAACACAACCAAACACACACAAACTGCCAACACACCCAAACACACACAAACGAGTAACACAACCAAACCAACACAAGCTAGTAACACAATCAAACCCACACACTCTGCGAACACAGCCAAACACACACACTCCACACTAATAACCAAACCCGGCCCCAAACTGAGCTCTGGACTGTCACTCAGCTGGTCGGCCCCGCCCCTGGCCACGCCCCCTCCGAGAGCGGCCCGCCCCCAAGACTCTCTGCACCCGAAGGCCGTCAGGCCACACCCGCATGAACCACACAAAGACTTTTTATACTGATTTGTACAGAACGGTTTTTAAACGGCGCTTCATTTAATCATGTTTGTTTCTACTGTCGGTTTTACTTTCTTTTTAATCGATCTGACAAGAGCAGAGGAAGAAACGGCGGCACGTCTCCAAGACTTCTTTTAGACACTCAACTTCTGCTGAGCTTCTCTCTCTCTTTCCCTTCTCTATCTCTCCCTCCCCATCTCTCTCTCTCTTTCCCTTCTCTATCTCTCTCTCTCTCCCTCCCATCTCTCTCTCTCTCTCTCCCTTTCCCTTCTCTATTTCTCTCTCTCTCTCCCTCTCATCTCTCTCTTTCTCTCTCCCTCTCTCTCTCTTTCCCTTCTCTATCTCTCTCTCTCTCCCCCCATCTCTCTCTCTCCCTCCCATCTCTCTCTCTCTTTCTCTCTCTCTCTCTCTCTCTCTCCCCATCTCTATCTCTCCCCCCCATCTCTCTCTCCCCCATCTCTCTCTTCTCTCTCTCTCTCCCCCCATCTCTCTCTCTCTCTCCCCCCATCTCTCTCTCTCTCTCTCCCCCATCTCTCTCTCTCTCTCTCTCTCTCTCTCGTAACTGTAGCTGGTAACTCGCTCCTCAGTGCCTGTCCGTAACTGTGAATATCCAAGCACTTCGACTCGGCTGCACTGAGAAAATTCTTCAAATCCACACAGGTCCTTGAATAATATTTTTTCAGTTGTAGGCTTTAGTCGTATTAGAGCTGACATGAACATATATATTTTTTGTAAGATGACAGTTGTTTTAAAGACTCTACAGGCTTTTCCATAGAGCTTATTTATATCAAGGGTTTCTTTGGTCTGTTTGATTCGTCAGCACTGTAGTGTACATAACGATTTTTCTAAAGGAAATGTGTAGTATGATTTATACTGAAATAAGAACCTCCTAATAAAAGGTTCAGTTTGTTGGACTGGTGTCGTGTCTGTGAGCCTCATCTACTGGCCGACGTTAGCGTGATCTTCGGGGATGTGCTTTAGCTGTGTTTCGTGTTTGATGGCGATCTGTCTAAACTCTGGAATAGACTCCTAGGCACACACACACACACACACACTCTCTCTCTCGAAATTTAACTCTAGTCGTAGTTCATTCCTCAACCGTAGTTCTGCTGTCAGTCAGACCCGCCGGCACTGTATACTCGAGATCCCTTCCCGTGATCCAGTTCCGCTCAGGCTAAACCCCATTCCCAGCATCCAGTGCGGCAGAACCAGTGTCCGATGAGTGACTGCTCCTGTCTTCCACATCCTCAGAGACTGAACTGCTCATCCCCTACACCGCTTCAGCCAATCAGAGACACTTGCTTGTTCATGTTTATGTTGACGTTGTTGAAAGGTTTCTGCGCGTCGCCGCTGTCTGCGGGATTAAAGCATTATGAAGGGGCGTTCTAGTTCTCCTGATTAAACTGCTCAATGTTCAGGCATTACTGACACAACAGTATGCCTTTCTGGAAAGCACAATGTAAATACGCGTGAGTTGATAAACCGTTTTCCAGCTGTGTGTGTTCAGCGCTACACACGGGTGTAAACCACACACACATCAGAAACACACCAACGTCCAACGTCACGAGATATAGTACAGAGACGAGAAGTCAAGTCACCTTTATTTATTTAGCGCTTTATACACTAACCCTTGTTATTAAAACGACTTTACAGGCATAACAGGAAAATACTGCTTCAATGATGCAAACACACAATCTGTGGTAAAGCGGCTCTAAAACACAAGAGTTTAGAGAAGTCCGTTACGTAGATGTGTAAAGATCATCATGAACTCTGTTGATAGTCCTAAATGAACAGATATTGGTGAGCACCAGCAGGTCATGTGACGGCAGCAGGTGATCAGAAGCGCTCTTCTTTATTGGTTGGCCAGTTTTGTTGCAGTGGGATTTGGAAATATATTACAGAGCCTCTCCTTCTCACTTCGATGGCATGCGAATGTTTGCGTTGGTCTGAACAGATCCATGAACCATTCAAATTAAAATGTTTATCGCTCTGAATTTCCCCTTAGATTACTTGTCTTGGTGTGAACACCTCGGACCCTCTCTCTCCCAGCTGGAGGAGCTCACAGTCCCCTGGCCACAAATACATCACAATACTGCCACCATGTGGACACTAGTATAATGACACTACAGTTTATTCTTTAAAACCAATGGTTGCCAAGCACACACACCTTAACCAGCTAATCCGGGTGTTCAGGATTACAAGTGTGTCTGACCTGAAGTCTGCAGGAAGGGTCAGATTTGGACACTTTATACCTGATATCTGGTATGATCTTAAATCAGATCTTCTGTTTTAATAAGAAAACCCTAACCCCTTTCACGTTCCCATGTCAAACTCAGCATCTGTAATAACTGATGTTGTTTATGTAAGCATAATGTATAGTGTAATACATTTACATTCAAGTTATAAACATATCTGTGCAATTTTAGAGTAAGATCTATTTTGTATTTTTTTATAAAAGCATTTTTTGTGCTGTACATATCATCACAATAGACTTAAAAGGTTTTTTATATCTATGTTGTATTTTTTTACTTATACTTCAGAAGTGATGTCTATTTTCAAAAAAGATGAAGTGGTTTGTTATTTAGTGCCCTACACAGGCTGCATACTCGCGTTAGGGAGCTCTCACGTGCACTCGCTCAGTGTGTGTGAGGATATCAGCTGGCGATCACACACACACAGCACAGCTGCTAATGTACCGCTAACATGGCTGTTCATTAAATAAGCTGTTGATTAGAGCATGTATAAAAGGTGTTTAATATTGAGGTTTGGTAATTGATGAATTTCATTTATCATTGCATGGCTCTCAATGGTTTTATCAATAGGGTGGGTGACCATATTTTGATTATCAAAAACCTCGGCCCGGCAAACAGATACACAAATGATACCCCATGTTTATTCAAAAATGCTTTATTAATTTCAATACATTTAAAGTAGGCTATGCCTCCTCTGTATGGATATAAACGTGTTATATTATAAGACACAAATTCAGATAGGCTTCTCAGAGGTTACTCTCAACATGTGTTATTATGACATGTTGCAAAAATAATGAATGAAATAATGATAGAAATAATGTCTCTTCTGTATTAGAAAAATGCATATATAAACAAATAACTAAAAGAAATACCTCCAAAAATGGGACAAAAATAGCTCTCACAAACTTAATTTTTTTTTTTTTTTTAAATATTTTTAGTTTTCTTCCTCTTTATCCTGTTTTTCTTCCCCTTCCTCCTTGTTTGCCCATCTATATTTTGCTGGAGCTGATCTTTCCCAGCAGTTTTTTAAAAACCAGGAATTAAAGGAGGGCGAGGACAGGACAGGTGATCAGGACAGGTGATCAGGACATGACAGGTGATCATCAGGACAGGTGATCCTCGTCAGTCTGGGGTGAGAGTTTGCGGACGATGGAAAAGCTTGTCATGCTTGAAAGTATGTGAAACTACTTTAGTTATTGCAAATGTAAGCTATTTAATCTTTCCTCCTTCATTTGACTTGTATTTCTGCTACTCATATGAATAATTTAGCTTTTTTAAATCACGAATAGTTGTGTGTGTGTGTGTGAGAGAGCGCATAATCAGCTGAGTGTGTGACAGGTGAACTGCATGAAGAGAAACAGCTTCTGTTTTCTTATCTCTCTCTCGCACACGCACACGCACACGCACACGCACACACACACGGGCTGTGACTGAGGAATAATCACTTTAAAAAAGCAGTGACAGTGAAATTTGCTGCTTTATTACACCTTGCAGTTGGATTATACAACGGATTAGGTAAGCCTTGTATAGCGCTCTCTAGATACTGTGCATTATACATATCAGGAATGTATCTTTATTGGCTCATTCTTTTTATAAAGATGATTTAAATTCTGAAATATGTGAGGTTTATCTTTTTATAAAAAGATTACTTGAACGTGGGCATGAACAAATTCTTAAAGGACAAGTTCGGTATTTTACAATTAAAGCCCTGTTTTAAAATTGTTTCTGATGAATGGTTAAGATTGTTTTTAGACCGATGCTGCTGTCCCGAGAGTTTTCGGATTGTGTGGTAGCTAATACTATAAGATGTAGGCCTAATACTATAAGGTTTGCTAGTACATTTGTAACGGGGTTCAATTATGTGAAGGAGGCGGGAACCGGCGAATGTTCAACTACTTTAATAATAAATAAACAAATACAAAATGAAATTATAGCAGCCTGTCACGGACGACACACAAAACACAACATAAAATCACAACATAAAATGAGGCGTGTTCCTCTCTCCGGTGTCGTCGCTCCTCCTTTATGCCTCCGCTGCTCCGGGAGAGATGCGAGACAGACCGGTGCGTCTCTCAGGTGTCGTTTGTGGTGTTGTCTAACAGGGACATTTAATATTCAACAATATTATTGATCTGTGTTGTATTATTTTCATGTCATCACTGTGAAGCTGCTTTGATACAGTCTGTATTGTAAAAAGTGCTATATAAATAAAGGTGACTTGACCCAACAAGCCCTAACCCTTTCTTACAAATATTTGAATATAGAATTGGATTAATAATAAAAATCTCAGCTCCTCAACAAGATATGTTTAATGCTTTCTGTGTTATATCATCCCAAACACATTATGGACTTAGAATTATGATCAAACATCCATTCATAAAAGAATGTAATTAAAAGAAAGTTCCAACCCAGTGTTGTGCACTCGAGACTCGGTCTTGAGACCGTATTTTAATGGACTCGGTCTTGTCATGGACTCGTACTCAAACATATTGGGATTCAAAATATGTCATGATTATTACTGTATGTTAATATTTCTTTAAATTGTTGTTTGATTGAAACGTCCAATGATTGCTGACTTTCTTGTGCGCAACTGCGCATGACTTGAGACTATAACGTTCGTGACGCGCAAATGCAGCAGGACCCAGGTCAGATATGACGTGGAGCCTCTAGCTCAACTATCTATTGAAAATGTCTGCCTTATCATCCCTAATTCAGTTTGCATATAAGAGCCACACAGAATTCATGTGCAGTAATGTTCTGTAAAAGAGCACTGACTGATTGTAATAATTGTAAGTCATATTTATAATAAAATTACCTTTACACCACTATGTGGCCTTTTTACCATTACAGTGTACATGATTCCATGGTATATTTGGTTTACTGTTTCAGTATGGTGCCATTTTTTTTGTTACCACCAAATATTTAACATATTCTTGAAGATATCTTTAAGTCTGGTTTGAGACCCAACCTTAGGTTATCCAG